GTGTCCTTTTGGGTGATATTATGCCATTTTCAATGAATAGTTCAATTCCTCTATAGAAAACAAAGATGGCGTCGTATTTCAAGATGGCGGACCTAAAAATCGGGCACCCCCCCATAAATTGTTTGTATTTAGGGTATGGAAGAAATGTGCAAAAGCTGCAGCTTTAATCCATCAGGTCACGATCCTTGCCGATATTGTCTCTAAGCCACCACACTATTTGTTCAACTACTCCCAGGCAAAGTATTTAGTATAGCTCCAATAAGGGTTATTATTTATTTGCAAAACTAATAACTGATCTTAGTTTCCCAACTACTTTCAGGCCTCTTCGCAATGAAATTTTTTAGCAATCCATAAGTTATAATGTAATCAACAAATAAGGATATGATCGACATAGAAATAAAACCAATTTATTAAAATATATTGAATTCTCCCATTAAAAAGTAATCAATAAGACAGCGCATGTTGAACAAAGAAAAAAAGTTATGTTAAATTTTTAAGATATTCTATAATATAAATTATAAATTACATAATATTGTACGAGTTCTAAGTATTGAATGATAATAATTATCGTTAGATTGGTAATTTATACTTTTTACTTATAAAGTAGGTCCCATTGGCACAATGTAAGAATATAATTAATTGCAGTAGGTTATGCATAAACTATATGTATTTGTATATTTTTTCAGAAGGTTCATAATCTTTTATTAAATTCCTTAAAACATATCGATAACGATTTTATCACGTTTATAGGAAAAGAACGATCTTTGCCCACTGAAGCGTGGTGTAAGGTTATTTGAAGGAAGGCGAGATGAGTTTCTCTCTCAGGAGAGCAACCTCAAGTTATTGGTGCTATTGGATCCCGATAACTTGGATTGACTCATATAAAATTGATCATCACATTAAATTACAAAATTGTAGCTAGTCAAGTGACATTGTTTCTTAAAAGCTGTATGCCATAACATATATTTTCACGACTCCTTAAATATTTTAAAAGAAGAGTTATCCTGTGTTTTTAAATTAAAAATGTAAGCCAAAAATACCCTTTAGATTATAATATTAAAAGGAAAAAAATATCTTTTTCAAACATATGGTAAATAATTTAAAATACAAAATGTTTTTTCCTAACCTCAGTAGTGATTTCCCTTTACTGAATGGATTAATTGACATGGCACAAAAATAAATTAAATTGGGGTAGCCACCAGAAATGCACGGCGACTTTCCACCATTAGGGGTGTCAAAACACCAACAGAAAGAGTGGCACGTTTAGAAGTACAACGAGCGCGAGCTTCCACCTCAGAGAAGCAGAAACACAAGAAGAACGAGAGGCTCGGTTGGAAAGCATACGAGCGCGAGCTACCACGTCGAGGGAGACCGAAACGCAAGAAGAGGGAGATGATTGACGTTAAATGCACGCTTACATCAGAACCAAACAAGAGTAAGATTGGAACTAAATAAAGCTGCGTTCGATTACGATAAAAACTATGACTACAAAATGCACCGCGATGTTGTTATTGGTACACTGACTCAATTATGCCCGTATTGCCATGCTCTGAGTTTAAGTAAGAATCGGCTGGAATGTGTTGTACAAATGGAAAAGTAACTTTCCCACCGTTTGCTAAGCCTCCAGAACCTCTTCAAACCTACTTGGGTGCAGAATCTCGGGAGTCCAAACATTTTCTCCAGCATATTCGAAAATACAGGGTATCCCGGAACTCTCAATGTGTGGAATGTTTAATCTCAATGAATTTGTACTATTACTATTGGAAATTTAACGAGGATTCTGAAAATAACAATGAATTTGGAATAAAAACAATGTTGAATGCACTTATGGCCATTTTATGCACGTAAGTACAAATATTTTGAAAAAATCTTAAATTGTCTGTTATTCCCTACCTGTGAGGGTATGGAAACTTAAATTGGTGCCATTTTGTCACCAATACTTAGTAGTTTAACACATAAAATTTTTTAATACTAACTTCGTTCCACCCTGTATAATTAACACTAAGCTTTATTGTAGAATAAAACAATTAAAAAATTATGATGGAGTTACAGCTTTTTATACTTGATTTTCACTATTTTTTTGGAGTTACACCCTTTTCTTTTTAACTTTTAAATATTGAAATAATTAATTATTGAAAGGTTTCCATAGGTATAAATTAAAAACTTGTGTCGTTAAAAATATTTTAATGAATAAAATCAGCTTATGAGAAATACAATATTAATTAGACCTACATGAAAAACAAGTACTCTGTTGTATAAAGCTAGCAGCCTACTGCCACAGTAAATTATCATAAAAATGGTGATAGTCTACTGGGATTGTCTTTTTCAACTCTTGAAGGTCATCTTACTTCCTTTTCTTAATTTTCAAACGATCCTTATACAAAATAGGAATGTCACGTGTCATAGTTACTTCTACTGCAGTAACTGTTGTTCTTACTGGAAGATTATTGTATTCATCCCCAAAACGCAGTTTGTACATTAAACCTTCTTTATTATTCTTGAGAGCACGGATATCTGTTACACAAGGATCTCCGACTTTCTTTCCTGGCCTGATAGACTTAAAATACTTCAGACTTTCATAATTTTTGAAAAAGGTGTGATCGAGGTAAGAAACTAAATAAGGATTTGGCTTTGTTCGGGCTTTCTCTATCACTGGAACATAGTCGGCAGGGACATTAATGATTTTGTTCCGGACTTGCCTTTCGATTTGGGAATGCACTGAATCTGCCTCCATTTGTGTGTGTCCCTTTTCTAGAAACTTTTGCTCTATTGTTATATTCATCAATTTAGCTAAATTGACTAAACCATTTGACAATATCGCATTCCGATTTTGATAAGTGCATCCGTCACTGTATAAGATGATGCTCTCAATATTTCCTGGTAAAGGGCACTGCTTCAGGATAAAATCACATATTATTGATGTAAATTCATTTGCTGTCAATCCCCCTTCAGACTCATTCCATACAAAGCAATGAACTTCTTTGGTTTTCAAGTTGTAGAAAGACAAATTATGCACAGCTAACTTAGTTTTGTAATAAAGACTTGATACATTCGATTTCGGACAAAGTAATACACATTGTAAATCCATTGTGAACACCAAACTTTTGTCACTGGACTTATCTTTTTCTTTTTCATCTCTTGCTTCTTTCTTCTTGTCTATGTGTCTTGAATAAAACTCCTCAGATACGTTTCCAGTTCGATGACCAACGCAGATATCACATTCATCCTTTTTGGGCTTAAATAAACTTAAATTTTGTTCTTCAAATACATTCAAAAATTTAGCAATAGACATTGTGGTTACATTGCGTTCCTCAGACCACCTACAGTATTCTCTATACAGTTCTTGTTTTGAAGTCCAATTCGGCTCCAAATAAAGTTTGGATGAATTCTTCCTACAATAATGGGATTCTACTTTGGCCAAACTTTTAAAAAATGTATCTAAACCTTCATTGGAACTTTCAAATTTTTTCTTTCTAGATTCCGATATTTTTCTATATTTAATAACCCAATTTGATTCAAGATTTTCTTGGCTTGTAACTTCATCAACATTTTCTTCCTGCTGATCATCTACCAAACATGTACTCGTTTTTTTCCAGTTTCGCATTGCCTTTTCTCCAATCCCTATAGTTCCAAAAAACATTTTTTTACACACACGCATTTTTTCTTGATTTTTCTCTAAAAAGTATATGTACGAGTGTTCCCTTCTACTTGTATCTACGTCCTTTCTACCTCTTGCCCTTGATGTAGGTCGAATCATAACAAACAAGTCAAGATAGACTATTTTTTCTTGCCGCGACATGTTCCAAAATTTTTTAAAAATTTGTACTCTATCCTCGTCAGTAATTGTAAGATAATATAAAATACTAATAAATGCTGCAAGTAAAGAATGTGTTTATAATTCAACAAGAGTCATCATCACCACAACAACAAACTAAATTATAAAACATATGTTAAATGCAAAGGCATATGAATGACACTACATCTCCCCTTCCTCATTATACAGGGTGTTAGTGAACTCTCTCGAAAAAATTCACAGGATCATTCCTTGGGTTAAAACATGAATATTTTACATTATAAACATGGGTCGCCGGAGCCTCGTTTTCTGTCTGTCTGTCTGTATGTGTTTTTTATAAATAACTTTTTAACTCGAGTTTGAATCGAGGTACAAACTTTAAATTTGACACACTTGTGTATTTTAACGTGTTACACAAACATGCAAAATTTCATTTCGTTGACTATAGCCGTTTCAAAATGGCGGCCATCTAAAATCTTTGACCTCAAATTACATGAAAACCACTAGAGTTACAAAAAAAAAAACACAAGGATAACAAAATGTGGGAAATTTTATGCCAAATCAAATGACACCTAGATCTTAAAGATCGGACAACAAACAGCTGAGTTATAAACTTTTTAAATAATTAATAATTTCTTGACCGGCTTTTAATTGTTATTGTTATTGTATTAAGTGTCCTATTTTTACCTTAACTATTGAGATCTGTTTAAGGTTACGTAATGTACTCTGTATCAGATGATTTTAAAGAATAAACAATAACAATTAAAAGCCGGTCAAGAAATTATTAATTATTTAAAAAGTTTATAACTCAGCTGTTTGTTGTCCGATCTTTAAGATCTAGGTGTCATTTGATTTGGCATAAAATTTCCCACATTTTGTTATCCTTGTGTTTTTTTTGTAACTCTAGTGGTTTTCATGTAATTTGAGGTCAAAGATTTTAGATGGCCGCCATTTTGAAACGGCTATAGTCAACGAAATGAAATTTTGCATGTTTGTGTAACACGTTAAAATACACAAGCGTGTCAAATTTAAAGTTTGTACCTCGATTCAAACTCGAGTTATAAAGTTATTTATAAAAAAACACATACATACAGACAGACAGAAAACGAGGCTCCGGCGACCCATGTTTATAATGTAAAATATTCATGTTTTAACCCAAGGAATAATCCTGTGAATTTTTTCGAGAGAGTTCACAAACACCCTGTATTTACTCATATCTTATTGGTGGTCTGATAGTTCTGCTCGATCTTCTTATTCCATCATTGTGGTTTGGCTGCACCCTCCTTCCACGGTAGACATCGTCAGAATCATCACTCTCTTTTCTTGGTAGGGGAATGAGATGCCATCTGTTTCGTCTTACATCATTCCCATTACTCAATGATACTATGTAGGATCGAGGTAGATTGGTTGTTGTTCTTATGGTTCCTTTCGCACTTATAACTTTAACCCAGACTCTCTCTCCTACAGCTAAAGGTGGAAGTTCTTTGACGCCTCTTCTGTTGTCAAAGTTTTTCTTAACTCTGTCTCTTATTTTCTTGTCACAGTTTCGAAAGGATTCTATTTGATCTTTTCCAACCACTTGAAAGTCGTTGAGAGAAGGTAAAGTTGTTCTTAGTTTTCTACCATACAGCAGCTCTGCAGGTGATAACCCCGATTCCAATTTGGTGGTCCTGTAAGCTAATAGACCAAGATTGGGATCCGGACACTTTAGTAGAATCCTCTTGGCTATAGATACAGCGTTTTCAGCTTCTCCATTCGATTGAGGAAAGTGTGGACTTCTAGTTACAGCTCTAAATCCGTACTCTTTTGTGAAACCTTTGAACTCGTCAGAAGTAAACTGAGTACCTCCATCTGTACGAATTTCTAGAGGGATCCCGTGTCGTGCAAAAATGTTTTTCATCCTTCCAATAACTGCCGCTGAAGTCAAAGTATTGAGTTCGATGAGCTCTAAAAATCGTGAGAAATAATCTTGTATTACCAAATACCAGTTTTTGTTACATTTAAAAATATCTGCACATAAATGGGTCCAAGGCTCTTGAGGAAGCTGTGTAGACATCAGAGGCTCCTTTCGCTGTAGTCTGTGTTCTATACATGTTGGACAATTTTCCACTGTAGAACTAATTTCTGTTGAACAGCCTGGCCACCAAACAGATTCTTGAGCACGCCGCCGACATTTCACTATACCCAAATGTCCCTCATGTAATCTTGATAAGATTTCTTTTCTCAAGGCCTTTGGAATGAACATCCTCCTTCCCTTAACAATTAATCCATCTTCCAAAGCGAGTTCATTGCGATACTTCCAGAATACCGAATTTTTCCGCCATCTATTCTCTTGGATGCATTTTAAGAGCTCCTGTCCTTCCGGGTCTTCATGTTGGGCATTCTTAATTTCCAACAGCCGTTTATCAGAACAAGGCAATGCATCAATTATGCTTCTTACAAACATTTCTTCCTCCAGATTCTCGATAACCTCATTCTCCCGATCCATTGGTGAAATTTCAGGGCTTCTTGATAGTAAATCTGCAGTTACATTTTCTTTCCCCGGGATGTGAACAACTTCGTAGTCGAAATTTTGCAATCTCATACGAAAACGTTGCAGCCGAGAAGAAAGATCAGAGATCGGCTTTGAACCCATTATCTCAGTCAGAGGCTTATGATCTGTGTAAAGCTGGAACCTTTTACCAAGAATAAAGCTAGAAAATCTTTCGCAAGCCCAAGTTAAGCCGAGAGCTTCTTTTTCAATGGTAGCATATTGTAGTAACTACTAAGAAGAATAAGACAACATGGCGACATCTGATTACGCACCTTGCTAGACTCGAAGTGACGATCATCAAGACGGAAAACTCCTTGACCGATCGGCAGCCAATCAGGGAGCTCCACGCCGATGTAGGCAGTGCAGCCACCCAGTAACTTAATATGTTTCCGGTTACTAATAATCTAATATGGTCCTATTGCTACTATATTACACTCGCCACCATTTAGATTAGGCCCACACTACTGCTGTAAGACCACAAATAACATACTCTTCTAACATAAAACTTTCTCTTCATAATAATTTATTTTTTTCATTTTTATTAATTAAACCTTGATTCCAACTTAAAAATTCTTCTCATAAAACTAAAATAAACTCTTCTCACTTCTGCCTGAATAGCTTAAAGGTCTAGCTTTTCAGGCTTTTGAATTGTCCTTTTTGACCTTCTAAGATTGGGCGGGCTACACTGCACTACCGCAGGTGAGTCTTCATGTCTTGGCTGGACCGCTGCAGTCTCAGAGTCCTTCAATGGAGATTGCCGCCTGGGCGAAACTTGCTGCCTCTCCTTGTCCTCTGAAGTTTCTCCTCGCTCAGGAAGTACTGGTTTCATGGGAGACCTTGGCTCACAACTTGGCACTGCTATCCCCTCCTCTTCCATGTTAACCCTAGACCTGAGGTGGTCAGCATGGCAACGCCTAACTTTTCCCAATACACTAACAAGATATATTACAGAACTTTTTATCTCCAGAACTTTTCCAGGTACCCAGTCAATCTTTTCCTGCCTGACAGTTTTGACGAACACTTTCTCTCCAACTTCAAAGGATCTTGCCCTTCCCCTATGCCTATCCGAACTCTCCTTCTGTCTTTCCAGGTTCGTGTCAATACGAGCGTTGAGGTTAGGTTTGAGAAGCGCAAGCCTAGTTTTAGGTTTCCAGTTGAGAAACAATTCTGCCGGGGTAAGTCCTGTTACAGTGTTAGGTGTATTTCTGTATGTCATTAGGAAGTTATCAAGTTTATGTTGCAAAGTCAGAGAACCAGTACCACCTTCACTCAACACCTGTCTCAACAGGTTCTTCTTCACTTCTTGAACGCACCGCTCGGCCGCACCATTTGACGCAGGATGATAAGGAGGTGATAAGACAAACCTTACTCCATTCTTCTTTAAGAATTCTTTGAACTCAAAACTTGTAAAAGAAGGGCCATTATCAGATACTAGAGTGTCCGGAAGCCCATACGATGCAAAAAGTGAACGGAGACGCTCAATGGTCTTGAGAGAACTAGTAGATTTCATAACAAACACCTCGATCCACTTGGAAAAACTGTCTACTAGTACTAACATTTGTTGCCTAGAATTAGTATCTTCAGCGAAATCTATGTGCACCCGTTGCCATCTACCATACACACGGGGCCACTGTTGGAGAGGGACTTTTGGAGCTGCATTCCTCGTACACTGACAAATATAACAAGAAGACACTGTTTCTTCAATACCTTGTTCTATACCGGGCCACCACACATAGCTACGTGATAACAGCTTCATCCGTGTAATGCCTGGATGTTGATCATGAAGCAATTCTAAAACTTGATTCCTCAATTTTGTCGGAATGACCACACGGGCCCCCCACAGAAGACAATTACTATCCACAGAAAGTTCATCTTTCCTTTTTACATAAGGCAATAACTCTTTATCCACAGCGCCATGCCAGCCGTGCCAAACATAATCTCTTACTTTAGATAATATAGGATCAGTACCAGTGAATTTAGCAATTTCCTTAGAAGTGATAGGTGATTCGGTACTCACCGTGCTGAAGCAGTTTAGTACCTCCACGCATTCCTGAGTGTGCGAGATAAAGTTGTTTTCCAGTTCCAGTGAATCACTTGCCGGTAACGGCAACCGGGATAAGGCATCGGCATGTGGCACATCAGACGCCTTGCGATATCTCACTTCGAAGTCATACGAAGCCAAAATCAGGGCCCATCTCTGTAGGCGCGCTGCGGCTAGGCTTGGAGTTCCTCGCTTTGAGCCAAAGATAGTAGCCAACGGCTGGTGGTCACTCTGTAATATGACATGTTTTCTCCCGTAAATATACTTATGGAATTTCTTAGCACCAAATACTAATGCTAGGGCTTCCCTATGAAGCTGAGAATAATTTTTCTCACTTTGACTTAGAGTTTTAGAGGCGAAAGCAATAGGCCTCTCTTCGTCATCAATCAAATGGGACAACACCGCCCCCACGCCTCGAGGGCTTGCATCACATGTAAGCACTAGTGGCTTATTGACATCATAATGTACAAGAATGTCAGAAGATAACACCCAGTGTTTACTCTGATTAAAAGTTTCAGCACATTTCCTAGACCAAACAAAAGGAACATCCTTTTTCAACAACTCATAGAAACAGTTCAGCTTGTCAGAGAGATTGGAAATAAATCTACCATAGTAATTAATGAGTCCTATATATGATCTCAACTCCTCCTTACTTGATGGTTCCGGGGCATCCTTGATGGCTTCCACTAGCCCTTCTCGTGGACTTATACCTTCAGCCGACAACCTATAACCTAAATAGTCTACAACAGGTTGTAAAAATTTGCATTTACTATCGTTAACCTTCACTCCATATTCTTGGAAGCGTTGAAGAACTTGCTCCAACCTAGACACTGCTTCAGGGTATGAATGTCCGCCAATCAAGACATCATCAAGGTACGCTACCGTACCGGGAAGATTTTTAATTATCTCATCAATAGCTGCCTGAAACAAAGCAGGTGCACTGGATAGGCCATATGGCAAACGAGTAAGACGAAATAATCCTTTATGTGTTGCCAAGGTTAACAACTCCTGTGAATCCTCAGCGACCTCCAGTTGAAGATAGGCTGTCTGTAAATCAATAACAGAGAACACAGAACAACCAGATAATGAAGCAAAAATATCCTCGGGTTGAGGTAAAGGATAGTGTTCAGTTTGGATAACTTGGTTTAACGTTACCTTTAAGTCCCCGCATAGCCTAACTCCTGTAGGCTTAGGCACAACAACCAGTGGGGTTGCCCAGTCGGAACTCAAAACAGGATAAGCAATTCCATCATCCACCATCTTGTCTATTTCCTCTTCCACTTGTTTGCGAAGAGCGAACGGCACTGGACGAAATTTGCAGAACTTCGGTACAGCTCCATCTTTCAAAATTATATGTGTCTTCACACCCTTGATTGAACCTAATTTTCCTTCAAACACAGAAGAAAACTTTTGCCTTAAATGCTTAACATCTTCCTTGGCCCTAGGCTGAACCGAGTCAGCTGATTGAAGTGAAGTTAGGTTAGGTAACTTGTCAATAGAGTTTAGGCTAGGCCTATTAAAAACGTGCTCGTCGGAGCGGTTTACAGTTTTATCTTGAGAAAATATAGACTTCCAGTCTAAGGTTACATGTTCAAGCCAGTTTCTACCTAGCAACATTGGTTGACCCGTTTGGCCTAACTCTACAATAACTAACGGCAAGTCCTGATAAATTTGGTTGGCCGCTTTTACTCTAACCAAAATCTGTCCCAACACACTTACTTCATTTCCTGAATAGGTAAGTAGTTTTACATAACAAGGCTTTAAAGCCAGATGTGAAAAATATTTACGATACCACTCAAAGGGGCAGACCGTAAGGGCGCTGCCTGTATCGAGCTCCATGGTCACATTATGGTTTTCAATCATCAACCCTACTTCATAACCCGCCTTTCCATCTCCAAGGCCTACACTATACAGACATAAGTCCTGTAAAACTTCCGATGTCTCTTCAACATTGTGAACCTTAAACACTTTTTTGTTAGTCCTAGGCCTACTATCAGACACATCCTTTGACCAACACACCTTACCAAGGTGTCCAATTTTTTTACATATATTACATTTAAAATTGATATAAGGACATTCATGAGCCTTGTGCTCTTTCGCACAACGATAGCATTTGAGCTTATGAAATTGGCCAACTAGGCCTACCTCAGCAGGTGACCTTGAAAACTTAGCTGATTTAACTCCATGCTTGGCACTTAGGCCTACTTTACGTGGACCTAGACTCATTTTATTTAAATCATGAACATGGTTCCCTGAACCTACAAAAAGACTAGTTTGTTTTTCAGCTTGCTCTAAGGTTAGTGCTAATGAAAAAGTTGAATCCAAATCTTGTTCATCACTGAGAAGTTTTTGCCTAATTGCCTCATTGTGGATTCCAGATATTAATTTATCCCTGAGTGCATCCTTAAGAGTCTTCCTTAGTGGTAGCCATGTTGGATTTCTTCCCCATAAGAACAATGTTAAACATTACATCATTTGTGGACACGTAACGGCGTTATTTGTTAAGATATAGCTTTGAAATTTATAATTTGTATTATTAACATAATAGACTCGTGACTGAGGTTTTTGAATTTCGAAAATCCATTTTCATTTCCTTTCAATAATTAGCTTAATTTTAAGCTAATTAATAATCAATTATTCATTATAAAAATTAAAAATTGTGAAATAAAAAACGTCAATCTCTAGAGGACCGCAATTCCTTAAATTTAACTCCTTATCCATAATTATATGACAATTTGCTGATGAGATATTTGGACCCAAAGTTAACATTGTTCTTATGGGGAAGAAATCCAACATGGCTTCCACTAAGGAAGACTCTTAAGAAAGGCTTTGAAGTTACATGTGCTTGATAAATGCCTAATTGCTACCATAAAATCAGCAATACTTTCATTGGGACGCTGAACACGTGAGTAGAACGTGTAGCGTTCGGCTACCACTAACCTTTTTGGAGAATAATGTGCTTCCAACACCTTTAACAGATCCTTATAATCCTTGGAATCTACCGAATCTGGTGATACTAAGTCCGTGAGAACAGCCAGAGCTTTTGGTCCAATTACAGTAA